GTTTGCGATCCGAATGTTTAATGTCTCCAGCGCTCAGGCTTTGCTTGCCAGAGAATTCCCTGCCAGCGAGTGAGCCAATCGAGGTTCCACGACAAAAACAAAAAAAAAACCCCAAACGGCCCAAATAAGGGAAACGTGAGTCTGAGTCTGAGCGGTTCGCACCCCTCGCTGGAAGTTCCGGTATTAGTGAAGTGATGGAGTCTCTGCGCCTCTTCAAAGAGGAAACCAAAATATACAAATACGACTAAAAGAGAATCCACGTCAAAGAGGGAAAACCGCGAATCCTTCATTACATTCATTCACTCGGATCGAATCCTCCCAACCCCCGGGGCCGCGTTCACGCCGCTGAGGTGTAAAACGCGCATTTGCTTCACTCAAAGCGCATAATGCGTCGTGTCACAATGTAACGCAATGGGAGATATATATTTTTTTGCATGTGTGATCTTCCTTTTAATTGTCGTCATTTCCTTTCTCCATTTGACGTTTGCTTTTCAGCACTCTCCTCCTCAACTTCGGCCCCCCCAACTGTGGTGAAACTGCAAATTACCCATCATGCACCTCAGGGGAGTAACTAGAAATCACAGGGCCCCATAGCAAAATTTTATATGGGGGCCATGTGATTTTCTAGTTACGCCCACCTGATAACCCAAGCAGACCGCCTGATGGTGACCCTGCAGAGCCCACCATAGACTCTCTATGACGGGCTCTGCAGGGTCTCAGGTGGGCGGTCACGTCCTCTTACCTGTCATCCCCCGATCCTCTGCCCGCCTCCTTCTCTTCCATGGTCGCTGGCGGGCCCCACCTCCTGCGTCACTGGGCCCCGCCCTCCTTGATCTCTGGGCTCCACCTCCTCCATAGCTGGGCCCCGCCTCCTCAATCGTGGCCCAGCCACCTCCTCCGAAGCTGATGGTTGTCACCGAGTCAGCAGCGGCTGTGAGGAGGAACGTGCCGCTGAACTGATCACTGACAGGTTGTCAGTGATGTGAATAGTGGCGCGTTCCTCCTCACAGCCAGCAGCCTGAGATGCCATAGCAACCCAAGCGGCCCGCACAGCATCAGGGGGGTGTCCTGGCCGGGCCCCCCTGTGCCCCGGGCCCCATAGCGGCCACCTGGGTCGCTATGGCGATTGTTCCGCCACTGATGCATCCGCCTCTGGGAGCCATGACTGCGGCTGTCAGAGTCTTGCAATGCCTCGTGGGATTTGTAGTTGCACAGCAGCTGGAGGGGCCAGAGTTTGCCAACCAAGTGGCATCACAAGGGTAGGGGGCGGGTGACAGCAAAATGACTGACAGTCTGAAGAGTCGGGGGATGAACGCCCCTCCTCTCTGCCGGCGTCCATCACCAAGATGGCTACCAGTAGTTAAGTGTGCGTGATGACGTATCACCAGGTGACACCCGGCAGCCGCATTGGTGACACCCCTGTGCTGGACCATGGATCATCCGTCATCTGCTTGCGGCCTCCCTCCCACTGTCCCTATTCCTAAGCCTCTTTGGTGGGCTCATCTCCTCTCTGTCCCCCAGATTAAGATAAACCATTTCCTTCCGGCGGGCACATGGGAAATACGGACATGTGACTTGAAAAACGCATTTTCCATACACTGCCATTGGATATAATGCGCACAAAAGATTCCCTGCAGCACTGGGGGACCCAGGTTCAAATCCCGGTCAGGGCACCATCTGCAAAGAGCTTCCGCACAGTACAGTGAGTGAGCGTTGTCACCCTAGGACAGGAAGTGTGCCACTGGCAGGATCACCAGGTGCAAATAAAGAATATAAAAATAAAAAACCCCCCCCCCAAAAATGTGAATGCGTCCACCCCATCGAAGGGCTGTAAGGCAGCAACATATTACATATTTCTTCTTGGCTTTCGACACTTTAATTGCCTTTTATGTTTCTTTTATATAAAGATACAACTTCTGTCATTGTGTTATTTCTGTGACCCCCGTTGTGGAGATTTTCCCTCACTTCCTGTCCCTGTGACACCCATGCAAAAAATGGGGGT